AAGATAGACAGCAGAAATATTACAATCAGAAGCACATATTCGTTGAATTTCTAGTTGGTGACTTTGTGTATGTCAAAGTCAGTCCGATGAAGGGTGTGAGCAGATTCGGCAAAGTGAGTAAGCTCAGTCCAAGGTATGTTGGACCGTTTGAAATCCTTGAAAGGATTGGTAAATCTGCTTATCGGCTGTTGTTATCTGATCAGATGTCTGATATTCATAATGTGTTCCACGCATCTACTTTGAGAAAGTGGATATCTGACTCTGAAAAGAAAGTGTCTGCTGATGAGGTCGAGATTCAGGAGAATCTGAGATACAAAGAAGAACCTGAGTTGATTTTGGCTTACGGCATGCGCAAGTTAAGAAATAAACAGATTCCTATGGTTAAAGTACAGTGGAAGCACCGAACAGCACGGGAAGCAACTTGGGATAAGGAGTCGGATATGAGGCAGTCGTATCCATATCTGTTTTGACTGAGTTTTGGATTGGCAATGTCGAGTACGACATTTTTTTGAAGTTGGGGAGATTGTAACATCAATTTTTGCTCCAGGTTCGTCCTATCGAAGTTGGATCGTCCGGGACGATCGGTACAGATTGTTCAAGGAAAATAGTTTTGGCTGCATGGTTCGTCGGGACGAAAGTTGGTTCGTTTGGACGAAAATTCTCCCGAGGACAAGTCGCCGAGGACGTTAATTAATCTCGTCTGGACGAAATTCGTCCAGAGCCACTTCGTCCTGGGACGAAGTTTCGATCGTCCGGGACGATCAGTCTGGATATATATAGAAATGAGATATTTTGAAGAGAGAGAAAAGCCCAGGAGAGAGAAAAACGAAGGAAAAAGTGGAAAAGTGGATTTTTGGGAGACGCCGGGCCGTTTTCGTCCGTTTCAGTAGTTCAAGAAATTGGTGTACGCAAGGTAAGGCACATTCCACCTTTCTCAATTTTCAGAACAGTGAAGTTTGAACGAGTTTTTTGTCCGGATTTCATTTTCGTTAGCGAATTCTGTCCATATTTTCCGATTGATTCAGTTTTTACCGCGTAACTTTTGATATGTTTCTGAGGTGTCGAGTGTGCACATTTTGAATATTTTTTGGAGATTTTTGACCGGATAGTTTTGATTTGACGGCGTTTTCTGTTGACTGTAAATTTTCACGATGTCTGAAAATGTTGTGGCAGTGGAATAAAAGTCTTATAATGTTGTTGTGAATGTTCTATGGTAATTTGGTAAAATTCTGATTTGGTGAATTTTGTGTAAATTCCGTATACTGCCGTTATGCCGCCGGATTTTCGTACGATTTCTAAAATTGTCCGGATTTGTTCTGAAATGATATGCTATGATTGTGTGCTATAAAAAGGGAGTTATAAGGGGTCAGGATCCTGAGAGATCCTGTCTGTGTCGGGGAAAAATCTGAAATGAGCTCTGAAATCTATTTCTAAAAACAAGTTTCGGATCCGATGATAAGTTCTGTTCTGGTGCTATAAGCACATCTGTTCTGGTGCCATGAGCACAAAGGGAGGCATAAGGGGCCAGAATCCGAGAGATTCTATCAGTGTCTGGGAAGGGAGGCATAAGGGGCCAGAATCCGTTGAGATTCTGTCAGTGTCAGGGAATCTGTTCTGACTTTTGATATGTTCTGAATTGATTTCTATTCTGATATGACTTTTGATCTGATATGATTTAATCTGATTTATGATTTTTGTCTGTTCTGTCAGCTCTGATGTGATGTGTTTCTGTTCTGTTTTGATTTGATCTGATCTGTACGATTCTGATTCTGTTATGATTCAATTTCTGGAATTAAGATTTCTGTGATTTCTGTTCTGTTTTGATTCGATATACGATTCTATTGATCTGATTTCTGTACAGAATTTGTCTGATGTGTTTGATGTGGATTATGAGGATTTTGATTGGAGGTTTGATGTCTTGCTGAGCTATTGTAGCTCATCCTTGTTTTCTGCGTGGTTTTCAGGTTCTGGGAATGGGAAGGAAGTCTTGGATTAGGAGTTCAGAGTTTGATCCATTATATGTATTTTGTACTTTTGATTTTTGTACAGTCATGGCTTTTCTGTTATGCTTTTCCTTCTGTCTGAAAGCCATGAGCTGTATTTGTATATGATTCTTTTGAGGAAGAAAAGATAGATGATCTGTTCCGCTGTATTTTGATGTTATAGTAGCTCTGTGTGTCTGTTTCTGTGTATAATGCTTGGCAGAAAGTTCTGAAACAAATTCCAAAGCCAGATACTGGAATCAGTTCAGTTAGATTGAGTCTGGCCACGACCTAATGCGAGCGGGATCCGTCCCGGTCGGGTTGGGTCGTGACAATAGGAACAACTAATAAGTTGATTTATTAACTTTTCCATGTCTCACTATTTTCACAGCTCTGCTCTCTCAAGGCCATATATTTTAAGAGGTGTCTTGAATATGTTCAAAGAAATTAATTCCTAAGGTGCATAAACTTTTATTAGAATGTAAGGATTTTTTTCTTTCATTTTATCTTATCACCTCTAGATGTAGATAGATAATAACATTAGAATCAAATTTATCAAGACGAACATCTTGTTCATAGAGAGAAGCCAAGCTTTTTGTAGTTTAAAACAAAGATAACTACGATGAAGGATATATGGCCCAATAATTAGAGAAGAAAATTGATTCTTTAAACTTATGAATATAAATCCCATACTTTACATGTTATCCCTTAGCTTTCTAAGAGGAGGGAAAAAATGAAAATTGAATACATTGAAATTATCTTAGGCAAGCCATTTGGCATATCTAAGATAACAATCCTAATTAAACAAGAGCATAAAGTAGATTAACAATATTTAATCGTGAATGGGAAGAATCAATAGAATAGAACCTAAATTTGAAGTCACAACTAATGCCCAAAAATGTTCTGAAACTTCATATCTAAAGCTACTAATATAATTAATACACTCAAAAAATAACACACTACCTACCATTTTAATTAAGATCAACCCTATATTATGGTAAATCTAATGCTACTTGTATATCGAAGTAAATTACATTAACATTGCATTAAAAATTTAGTGCAATGAGGTTCTAGTATTTGTTTATTGATGCAAGTTAAATAATCATGATGAGAATGAGAAAAAGATACAAAATGCAAGTGTCTTCCCATTAGGTTCAATATCTCTATCATGAAAACACCATCTTTCAACTCCAGTTACACAGAAGTATGCTAGAAAGATTTGATAAATCTCAACCGATCCTAAAGTAATCAAAGCCATAACAACAAAAAATAAGAATAAGAGAAACAATACCAATAGATTAATCGAGCCATTTTGGTGACTTCAAAGAAGCCAAACTTCATTTTCTTATCAAGAATCCCATCATCAGCATTATACCAATAGGTTATTGCTTTTAGGATCCTGAACAAAGATTTGGAATGAAGAGTTAGAGCATGCTCTCTACTTGATTCACTTCACTACAGAGAAGAAAAAAGAAAATACAAATAAAGAGATGAAACCAACTTAACAAAAAGAGCAGTTTCATGTTGAGATACAAGACCAAACAAGAAAAAAATGTTTAAAAGAAAACCAAGTGTAATTTCATAGCAGAACAAAAAGCAATATAAGATTCTAGTAAGCTAATTACCTCTTATTTGATTTTGGAAAGAATACCCTTTCCCATTTAGCCGAAGAACCATCACCCTAATTGGCACTGTTATCAACTGGACATGTCTGTGACGAACGAATCTATAATCATGAAATCCAAACAATTAATAGCAAAAAAATTTCTCATTAATCTTCAAGAAGCAAATCACAAATGCAAATAAAATAAAACTTCAAGATTGCTTATAACATTCAATGTGACTAAGTTGAAGATCAACAATGCTGAAGAGCCCCCTAGTTTCATTTCTTTATTCATCAAGCCAGGCAAAGCGTGATTTATAAGCAGAAAAATTTTGGTGGCTGGATAAAAAAAATAAAGACATCTATAAGGAAGATATGACAATGAAAACAAAGATGAATTTTATATATGAATACAAATTAAAGATCTCAAACAAGATTTATTGAATTGCGGATCTTCTCTCAATAATGTAAAAGGGAACCACTTTTGCATTATAAATAATATAAAATAAACTTTTTATTTGATTATCATAAGGAATACTGAATTTTTTGCTTTTCAACACGATTACTTCTAAATGGAAGGTCGAGAAGAATAACTCCAGTCTCCAAATGCATGAAATTAGAAAGGCATGAATTTAAATATAAAAAAATAGTGCTTACATCCGTTATTTTTATCTTTGAATCAGGAAGTTAATCATTTGCATATTAGGATTCATAAAAAGAAGCTAGCGACCTACGAAATTTTGACAAAGAACCTTGTAAAAGGGCTGAAAGATCATTTCCTTCACAGCGACCATCCAAAGCTCATTCATGCAAGACTAAGGAAAAACAAAGGAGAAGAAGCTCCTTTAATGACTATTTCAAACCTTGCCTTAACGCAAAGCCGAAGAAGAACCAAAAAGCAAAGCCCGAGCTCTCCCATGGCTTCCGACATGACAAGAGTGAAGAATTTATGTTAGTGACTCTTTTAGAACTCCTCCCGCGAAGTGAGCTCATATGTCGAGGATTCCAATCTGACAACAGTGAAGAGCTTCTTTGGAGTATTGGAAAAATAACCTTCCGTGAAGCTAAAAAACATAATGGAAAGAAGAAATAAATGTGAGGCGGGGGAATTCGAAGAGACCAGTGAAAACTTATATTTATTAAAAAAAAAAAATTGAAGGAATGGATTGAAGAAATAAATGGGACGTCAGGGAATTCAAAGAGACACAGAGAAAACTTATATTTATTAAAAAAATTGAAGTGCCACGATTGGTTGAGAGGAAAGGAAAGGTGAAGGGTTTAACGCATGGTGAAGAAATTTAAGAGTACAGTATTTAAT